CGATGATTGTCGGTCATGAGACAGATCTTAGTCATAAATATCATTTTTGTTTTTACCATGAACCACAAGTACGACCCACCCCCTTCCTCATCTGTTCCTTTGACACCCCCTACGTAATATCCGCCGTCTTCCAGCGTAATATTTTTAACTTCAAACAGTATGTGAGTAGTGTTAAGTAACAGATGTAGTATACTTGTACATATTTTGGAGGTACATCTTCTTTATATTCTGTTATTTTAACATAATATTGTGAATCATTGTGTGTATCATGGAATATTCGCCTAAAAGTATACTCTGGAAAATAATCAGTTGTCCGGGAAATATTTCTTGATTCTCCTTCTTTTGCATCCGCTATGTTTACTTAAGAAAAATAGAAATGTATTTACGTGGTATACTGAAGAAACATGGTTCAAAATTCTCCGCTATTTGAATGTTATTTCTCTTACAGTGAATGACTCTGAAATCCATGCCATATGCTATTTGAATCATGTTTCAGAACCAATTGTTTCAGGAAAGGTGTCTATAATTAAACAAATTAACATACGTTGAAGAAGTATTGCACTGCGATATACAAAAGAAATTTCTGCTGATATTCTATTCGAACTCTCATTTCCCCCTTCAGTTGAAGAAGTAAATTATTTGGAAAGTCTACGGAATGAGTAGGGCGAATGGCAAGACAGCAAATTTTCGCCATAAAAGGTGAAAAGTCATAAAGACAGTTTGAGGGTGCAGACATCTGCAGAATTGATGCACCATTTGCAGACACTCTGATTCTAGCGAACAGGAAGTCGGGGAATAAAAGAGTGGAGACACGTGGTAGATACACTGTAGTGGCGTTTCAATAGGTTGAAAAATTGTCGAGAGGGAAAAACTCCAGCAGTGAAAATATAAATGCTAAGGTTTTCAAATAGCTTTGTCATTACTGGTTAAAGTAATATTAGTTTACTGAAATCTGATACCGGGGTATTTTGTCTCAAGTGAAGAAATTCTTCAGATTTTACTGTTATTATCAAATAAATTGATACTATATCAGGTTCGGAAAAAGCACACAGGTGATGCCAAAAAATAGTCTTAATTTGTAGATTTTTTTTGCATTTAAGGAATGAAGCTTATTTCAACTTATGTTATAAAATATAACATAACTTGGGGCAGTTTACGCTTTATAAACCGCGAAGCGAAGGTCAACATAAATATATATTATAGCATTTTAAACTCATATCTACTGTCTATTATATCCATTCTAGTTATCTTTGAAATAAAAAACTTAAGCATTGGACTACCGCTTCATGAAAAATATGACCATGTGCAAGTCTTTATAATTTACACACCAATAAATCACACAAAACTAAAAAAAAAATCCTTTTATTAACATTTTAAATGTTTGAAGGTATAAAAAATATACTCAATGTTTGAATTTTTCGCTGTCCTATATATCGTTGCATTTTTACAAACGTCGTTGTAGCATCATTGTGACGTCACATAACCCCAAGGTTCTCCGTGTATATTTCTACTTGTGAGTATACACGAAAATGGTTTTTAAACCAATTTCATAGCAAATTGTAATATAATGTTTTGTTAAATAAGATTTTAGTCCTTTTAATTGTTATCTTCTAGATCTTCTAGCGTTGTATGTTGTATCGATATATACATGTAATAGGATCTTTATGCAGGAATTCATCATAAATATTTGAACATTTTGCTTCTGATACATGTATATTGCATTTTCCCGTAAAGGATAACGTCAGATTTTCCTAATGAGTTGTGCATAATAAACGCACTCGTTTAATTCACTGCTTATTTGAAATTCTGCAGTGATATAAATTTTTATCACTTAAGAGATAAGAATACTTGAATACGTACATGTTGATATCATTTTCTGGAGCATAATAATCGCACTTCCTTAATTTATATCACTTTATTAATACATATAACTAAAAAATAATTATAACTGCTTATTTTCTACGATCAATGAACGCCACATCAGTCTTTATGACAGAATAATGATTTTTATTTAAACCTTATCTATACTTTGTCCACAGCGGTCAAAATGAGTTTGAATTTCGTTTTTGACAAAGCGTATTCATTATCAAGAAAAAGGCAAAACGATGAGATGTTTTAATTGAATGTAAATAATAACACTGCTCTTTTTTCATCATATAAGCATCATATTGCAATAAGACAAACGTTTGAAATGGTATTAACACATACTTTTGTAAATGCACTGATAAATCAATATATACTGCTTCATGCCTTTAACTTCTATTAAATTTTACGTAAATCTGCTTCTGACCCTGTACAGAACATGATACTCCAGCTGAAACTAAGCACACTAACCCGAACTCAATCATCACAAATGTCAATATAAATTTCTTAAAAATAGTTATTGTTTTTGGTTTAATTTTCTCTCTATTTTGCCACCTCAATCGCATTAAAGTATTTAATTAAAAAAATCTTGTGATAAACAAATTTTCTTTTCCAATCAAATTTTTCCACATGAAAGGTCTTAGAGAATAAAAAAGCTTTTGCTGCTTTATGTGAACCCTAAATGCCGATTTGTTCGTTAAAAGTTAAAGTTATAGAGCATATACCCTTACTTCCAAAAACAGATATTACTCTGATATAATGAAATAAACATTGCCAAAAGGAATATCTAAATAAGTTAGTCACTCGTGGCTGTTTGGGCGAGAATATCTTCCTTGTGTCAAAGGAATCTCTTTCTTCTTCTCCATTTAATCTATCTTTATCCATATATTGAAAAAAACCCACAATGAATAGTCTGAAATTCTTAAACGGTTTTTACTGAATAATTTTTTTAAAATATCACATCAATTATGTATAACTTAATATAAAATAGAGGTAAATGTGTACTTTTGGGGACGAAAGTCAGTTTGACCTTAAAAGGAGGGTTGATAGATTTTCGAAGAAAAGTCTGTCAGATTTAAAAGAATCTATCCTCGATCGGCAAGAAAAATAAAAGTCTGCCCTTTTTCACAAAGTGCTTCAACTGTCATCCTATGAAATAGAAATCTGGAGTGTAGGAGTTTTTCCTTCGTTGCTTGTCAAAATTCTCCTTGACAGGCATTAATTAAATAATAACTTGACTCGAAAAATGTTGCTAGCAGCCCTCCTTCAGAATAAATGTTTTTCTTTTTTGATATACATTTAGATTCCTTTGCATTTTTTTCTTTTCCTACAGTTATTGATATTGATAATAAAAGAGAATATTCAAGCCTACTATCTTAATTTTATTTCAAGCTTCGTTTATCTGCAAAAACTTCCGTTTATCTGCAAAAAACATCATTATAGCAAGTGATCAACAAAATTCAAACGTTTCCTTCAAACTTTGTATTTTTTTGAAGACATATCTCTGTGTTTTACATTGTACGTTTGCTTGAAAGATAGTTTGACATTTTTTTGTTTATAAACTGTTTCAAGATGATACTTTATAAAGTACTTTGTTCTTATTTTTAGCTTGTATGTTTACAAAACTATTCGTATAAGGAAATAAATATGAAAGTGGTGTAATTAATATTTGTTAAAAGGAACCCCTTCCGTTTGTATTTTGATGCCCTCCTAAGTGTTTTGACAAATTCGTATGACTATCAATTCAGTTAAATTAGAGAAAAATAATGAAGAAGCACAAATGTTTAAATGATATTTATTTCAATTCTCTTATTTTTATTATTATCTACTTTCAAATAATCAAACAGTGATTTAATGGGGGACGTAGTGCTGAAATTACAATAATAAAAAACACAAGAAAAGTCAATATTAAAATGTATATACCTATGGCCGTTCCTTGTTCAATAGGAGATTGGAATTTACAGAATACCACGGTCATCCTCCTCAATGTTAAAATAATTAGGTGAATAAACAATCGAATGTGTCTATTCTAATCATTTAAGGCACATATTATATTCAGTGTCTAATCTTCTCTTTAAAAAGAATCAGATTTCAAACCATAATACATGTATTATTTTTTGCCTTTAAAAAAAGCTGACATAAATATATTCAAATATATTCAAATATTGACCAAATTAATGTGTAAATTATATATTTAAAAAACATAAAAAAAGGTACGTGATCTAGTGACTATGTCAAGTTAGAAACGAATTCAAAGGATTGAATATAAAGAAAAAAAAAGGAAATCAAAATACATAATTTTTTTTATTTTTCAAGCAAATAAAGAGACAAATCCTTTATACAGAACTGTGAATTTATTCTCTATTTTATAATAATTTGTGCCACTTGGTAGGAAAGAAGTCCTCATGAACAGCCTGTCTGTTCTGAGATCTAAAGAAGTGAATGAGTTAGAAAGGCCAAGACCCTATGTTCATCTACAAAAAAAATAACCTGTGTCAGTTTGAAACATTCGCTATGAAAACTTTCACAATATTAAAACATCTGCTGAAAGTACAGTGTAATTACTGCATGCATAAAATCAATCTTATTTTTAATATTTTTTTCTTGCTGAATTTACCATTGAGTTTGGGAGGACAAACAACTTATGCTGCATGTATCAATTTCTAGATTTCGACTTTTAAACTCTGCTAGCGCCGTAGCAAGTTTTACTTTGTACAGATAGCATAAATAAATTTACAGTAAATAGAGGAGTTATATGGCTGTATAAATTTAAATCATAATTACATTATCATTTTAAAATTGTAACGGTAATGATTCGCACCCAAAGCACATGATAAAGAAAATGAAACAAGCGAGCAACACCGTCAAATAGTTTTTTAATCAATATACACTTTAAAATATTACACCATATTCTCTAGAACCCATATTTATCATACTGGATACATATTCATATAAATCTTGAAGAATTCTTTTCTATTAAATAGAAATTGGAAAATAAACAGTTTCTTCTTTTTGCATTCTCTGAAGGATATCAACATAATATACGTCAGTGTTTACCTGCGAGTCTACTAGTAGCGGCACTAACACCGAAGTACCCGCTGTCTGGTAGATTAACATTCTCCTGTCTCAGACACAGTTCAAAATCGTCCTTGTTGTTGGTCAGACCGTTGTTCACAAATACCTGGCAGAAGGTAAATAAAGTTATCTTTCACTCTGATGGGGTACGGTTTGTTTCTGAAGTCACTTAGACATCCACCAAGCTGTTGCTGCGAACCATCACTGAGAATCAATAGAGGAATAATGATCACTCTCACTATTTATTTATGCCTCAGTGTAAATAAAATACTCATTTTTAATTTAATTTTCATGTAATAATCAAAACAAGGCATGGCTTGCATAAAAATACAACAGTTATGTATTGGTTCATTTCAATAAAATTTCTTATCAGCTTTACACAAAATGTAGGTTTTCCTTTTTTTTTCCAAAATATATATCACGAAATCTACCGATTTTTTAAAAAAAATTTTTGTGTAACACAAATTTTAAATTAAAATTTAGTTTACAATTCATATCAATTCATATCAAACTAATCCCTCACCCCTGGTGGTCATACTGTTGCGTTCCGTCGTTAACCATTGCCATAATATATGGATTGTTGTGCTAAAATAAGATAAAAAATTAAGTATTCCAATATGATCATTCGCCAATTCTAAAACAAAATATTCATAATATTTTGTTTTGCTTTGTATATGATGTACACATGCATATACAGATGCTCGTAACAGTTAAGATTACCTGACCGTCGTTATCAAAGGAGTCCATAAACACACCCAGTCCCCTCCACATGTCCTGGTTCCCAAAAACTGGTCCCTCCTGACCTTTGTCCTCTGTAAACCACACAGCCTGTCAAAAATAAATGAAAAAATAGAGTAACAAAATACAGGATTCAACAGTCTGTCAAAAAAAAAAAATACGATACACAACATTCTGTCATAAACAGCGCTAAACACAAACCACTATCAAAAATACTTATCAGTCTAATGTTAGTTAGATGGGTTATTAATCTGAATCAAATAGTTACTGTTGTAAATTAAAAGAGATCCAATACTTTTTTTATATTCGGATAGATTTGGATAAAATATTTTTTTGATGCTTACATCACTTGTAACGCAGGGGGAATAAGGAAGCATACAAAATAATCTACCTTGGCTAAATCAGTGCTGCATTATGACGTCATAATAGGCAAGATGACGTCAATTTTAGAAATCAGGTTTTCGTAATATTGGTATTTAGCTATGTAATTTAACTCTAGAAAATGATTAGAAACGTGTAAATATTAACAAAAATAAAATGTTTTAATTTTGTTATGCTGAAACAGTCATTATGATTGAGATCTACCACCGATGACGTCATATGTATACATCAAGTAACTTGGAAATTGATCATATCGTGTAAAGAGAATTTGGCTAAGGCGGCATGTTCAAAGATACGTAAAATGGAGTTGAAAAGGAAATATCGGAAATATTGTGTTAAATTCATATGGAGTTCAATTAACTAAACAGGTATGCTAATTTATTTTCATCGATTATATTCTCTTTCGAAGACAGGTACCTATATTACGTATCCCGGTTGGCCTATCGTCCGTCATTCTTGACCAAAAAATGCAACAGAACAACAATAATGTTATCAATAAGCTTATCCTTGCCCCAGAAAACCTATCCATTCCCATTGATAAGATTGATCGAACCCATCGTGTAGGCAAGCAGCAAGAGAACCGCCCCAGAGATATCATAGTGAAATTTACTTCATATCGAGACAAGGCACTTGTCTATGCAAATAAGAGTAATCTGAAAGAATACAACAAAAATGAAATGAATGAACACAAAATTTTCATAAATGAAGCCCTGACAAAACGACGAATGGGCCTCTTAATAAGCACAAAAAAACTGCTCAAAGACCAACTTGTCGAGTCAGTGTGGACGTACGATGGAAAAATCATCGCGAAAACCCATACCAGGAAAAGATGGACGATCACGCGATATTCGGACATCGAAAAATTAGAGGGCAACATTATGCGCGGCCCTCAAACCTCTACTCCAGCTGCGGCAGTGTTCAAATAAATATAAGACAACTTTGTGTCACACATACCTCTCTTCTCACTTGGATATAACTGGACTCCATCTTTCATAAGTTTCAGAAGTCTATTCTGCAATATCTTAAATGTATTATTTTTAGTAAGGGTTTTTCCCATACTAGGGTAAATACTTTTCTATAAATAGATGTTTACCTAAACACTATATTTTTGTATGGCTTAATACACCAAATCCCATACTGTACCTTTTTGTAAATGTGTTCTTACGTTTTCATACTCAGTTTACTGATACTCTTGTGTTTACAAGTCAAATTTGTGTTTTTTGTATACATGTTTTTTGTTCAGTTCGTATTCATTTCTTATGCGTTTTGTCTTATTCCAACCATACCGGTTTCATTTTTACTTTTATACACAGCATATCCGATGTGTGAATCCATGCCATCCAAATCAAATATAATGATTTTTGACACAAATGATTAAGGTGATTATAACTATTTTTAGGATGTCATGGATAAACTATCAGTTAGATTTTTGTGTATGTTTAAATCTACATTTTCGTCGTATTATTATATATATACTGTTAATATTAGGGTGCATAGAGACCAATCCTGGCCCCAGTTTTATTAAAAGTAGCCATAGTAGCAAACCTTTAAGTATAGTCCATAACAATGTTTGTAGTCTACTACCAAAATTAGATATCATAACTTCAGAGTTATCAACATATGATATTATTACCCTTAGTGAAACGCATTTAGATAATAGCATAAGTAATGAAAATATTTCAATAGAAGGATTTCACCCACCTATTCGAAAAGATAGAAATAGACATGGCGGTGGTGTTGCTATATACATTTCGGACCAATTAGCTTACCATTTTCGAATGGATTTGTTAATTGATGGATTAGAAATTCTTTGGTCAGAAATACATAATGGCAACAAAAAATTTTTATTAGCTGTACTTTATAGGCCCCCATCTTCACTAGCTAGCTATTGGGACTTATTTAGCTCAAATTTGGAAAAGGCACTTGAATGTAATCTCCCAATATTCCTACTAGGAGATTTTAATGTTAATGTTTTGTCAAATCAAAGTAGCAGTTTCAAACTAATGCTACAAAAATTAAATTTAACAAATTTAATCGATTGTCCAACCAATTTTACAAAAACTGAGGGTACTTGCATAGATCTTATAATTACTAGCAATCCAACTTTGGTTGATAGTACATTTGTTTCAGCCCCATTTTGTAGTTCACATTCCCTTGTTGGACTGGACCTGAAATTCAATATACACAAACAATATGCATATAAGAGAGAAATTTTTGATTATAGTAATGCTGATTACAATAACCTCAATAATGATTTAGAAAATATAAATTGGGATTCAGAAGTTTTCAATACTACTGATGTAGATGAAATGTACTCTAATTTTACAGAAGTATTAACCAAAGGCATAGATAAACACATCCATAAAAAAGTAATTACAATTCGACCAAAGGACAAAGTATTTATGAATAGTACAATTAGAAAATTGATGAGAAAACGAAATCGAATCCATCGTAAAGCTGTCAAATCAAAAATTCCACTTCACTGGGAAAAGTATAGATACCTGCGAAATCAGGTCATTGATGAAATTAGAATTTCTCGTCAAAATTATAACAAAAAACTTACAGAGCAGTTAAATAAAACAATACCACCTGGTAAATGGTGGAGAATAGTGAAATCATTATCCAAACTAAACAATAAACATAAGCCAACACCTCCTCTTAAGGTCGATGGCCAAACGCTGTTTCATCCCATAGACAAGGCCAATGCTATAAACAAATTCTTTACAAATATCTCTTGCATAAACGATGAGCCTGATTTACCACCCCAGGGACCAGGTCCCCCCTTACATCATATGGAAACAATTAGAATTACAGAAAATGAAGTCTTAGACCAGTTACAAATCATCAATACATGTAAGCCATCAGGTCCTGATGGTGTTTCACCTAGAATTTTAAAATCTACTGCACAAGCAATCTACAAACCACTGACAAAATTATTTAATATATCACTAAACAATGGAACTCTTCCTAATATTTGGAAAATTGCCCAAGTTACTCCTGTTTATAAAAATAAAGGAAATGCAGATGATGTCAATAACTATAGACCAATATCAGTAACATCTGTTGTTTGCAAATTATTAGAAAAAATTATTGTCAAGCATCTGCACAACTATATACTTGAGAACGATATACTATATAAGTTCCAGTCTGCTTTTCAAACTGGCGACTCAACCAGTAATCAGTTGGTGGAAATCTATAATACTATTATATCCAATCTTGATAAAAGCCGAGATGTAGGTTTGTGTTTTGTGATATTTCTAAAGCATTTGATAGGGTCTGGCATGAAGGAATTATATTTAAATGAAAGGAAATTGGAATATCAGATCAAATCCTAAATTGGGTCAAAAACTACTTAGTAAACAGAAGACAAAGAGTGGTCCTTGATGGTTATACATCAACTCTTAGACCAATTAGTGCAGGTGTCCCCCAAGGATCTGTTCTAGGTCCTTTCTTATTCTTATTATATATTAATGATATTTCTTCAAATTTAACAAATAATGTCCGCTTATTTGCTGATGATACTTCACTCTACATTATTGTTGATAATGACATTTTTAGTGCTGCAAACTCATTAACAAATGATTTAGAAAAGTTGGATCAGTGGTCAAAACAATGGAAAGTTGATTTTAACCCCAAGAAAACAGTGAATGTAAATTTTTCCAGAAAGCATTTTTCTCATCCCAATGTTAAATTTGGTTTAAATGGCCCCTTAATTGAGCCATCGGAAAATCACACACATTTGGGACTAAATTTTCAGTGTGATGCAAATTGGAAATCTCACATACAAATTACTTATGAAAAAGCATGTAAACGGTTAAATGTTCTACGAATGTTAAAACATTCCCTTTGTCGAGACGCGCTAATAAAAATATATATGTCATTTATTAGACCAGTTTTAGAATATGGTGATGTTGTTTGGGATAATTGTAATGAAAAGGAGTCATCTCTATTGGAAGAAGTTCAAATTACTGCTGCAAGAATTATTACAGGAATGAGAGTGAACTCATCAAGATCACTTTTATATGATGAATTGGGTTGGAATACATTATCTGACAGAAGGAAAGTACATAAATTAATATTATTTTACAAAATTGTGTATGGGTTAGCACCACAGTACCTTCAAGATCTTCTAAGACCTTGTATTCCACCCCAAACCACATATTCATTAAGAAACAATGACGGTCTTACTTTTCTTATTCCTCAGACGAGGACCACATCATATATGAATAGTTATTTCCCATCTACAATTAAATTATGGAATAGTTTACCGTACCATATTAGGAGTTTACCAACACTATCTTCTTTCATTAATGCTATTAAAAAGACTCATTATAGAACACCCAATAAACTTTTTAATCATGGAAATCGTAGTCAAAATATTATTCATTGTCAGCTAAGAAATAATGCTAGTAGTTTAAATGCTGATTTACAGAAAGATTATATAAGTGATAGCTAAAAATGTGAAAATTGTGATTTTCATATAGAAAATGCATATCATTTTTTCTTTAAATGCCCATGTTATGTTGAGCAAAGAAACACTCTTTTTCACTGTATATCTAGTATAGACCTGAAAAATCCTATTCCTATTTCCCATAATCTTTTATTATTTGGTGATAGTAGTATTTCATATGCAAAAAATATGAAATTATTTGATTGTGTTCACAATTATATATCACAAACCAAAAGGTTTCATAAATGAAGTGTAACTATGTAATACTTATTCCAGTTTATGTTTTAAGTTAAATACACATTCATTGTATGTTTATTAATTGCTGTAGTTCTCATTTTTTCGATTCAATTCATTTCCACATTTATAAACCGGTATTCATATGTTGTTTTTTTTTTCCTTTTCTATCTTTACTCATGTATCTTTCTTTCCCCTGTGTTCTATTTAAATTTATGTCTGTATACAACTTATTGGTCATATATAAACCTGTTACTATATGTGTATTAATTAACCTTGTACCTTTGGAGAGGGCTCATATAGGCTATGCCTGCTGCCCAATCCAATTATGTATTTTACATAATAAAATATGTTCAAATCCAAACAATAAGCTGGATATTTCAAAACATACGATTTGTACAGATTGAAAGTTTGCGTTTTGACAAACATGGAAAGTGTTGCTAGAATCCCGAGTTAAGCATGGTTGTACGAAAAATCTCGATTCATATGTATAAAATTCAAAACAATGGGTAAGGTTTCGTGCGAATGTTTGGAATAAATATTTTACGGACGAGACAGTGGGATTCTAGCAGCCATTTTAAGATAAAATAGATGTTTTTCAGCTATATTACAAACTCAAAGAAATTATCAAACTCCGGGGTATTGTTGTTCTGTAAGCATTTTTATTAAGGAAAATTTAGCTATTCATAGATGTCACGTGATGCCGTGGCGGTGAGGCACGTCTTTGCGTTAGACACGCTTTTATCTGTATGCAATAGTAAATAACAATTTACGTTTATTAGAGGTTTTGGTAATTTATTAAACTAAATTTTCTTCAGAAAGTCTGAATTTCCCGAGAAATAACTGATATGCTTCCTTAACATACCCGCGAAAAGGAAAAATCAACAATATTCATGAATATTAATGAATTGTATAATCTGTGCGAGCTTTTACTTTATAACAGTGATTTTTGTGTTTTGAGTAGATGTGAAAGCAAGAAAATATTTGAACGAAAATATGATTTTTACCAGTCCATCTGCACCGACACGACCTCGTCCTGTGACCTTGAAAACACATTCCACTGACCACTGGTTAAAGTTAGTTTTCAGAATGCTCCAAACCCATCCTTTCAGGAAAGAAAATTGCGACTTAAAATTGATACAATATTATATGTGTAATGAAATCTGACACTCGTTTTTGAATTCTATTTAAATGATATAGCGACGTCTATAATTACCTCTTTTGTTCCTTCTGTGGGGAGTTAATCTGATATAATCATCACCCGCGATAGCATCTAAAAATATAAAAATTAATCACTAATAAAGGATTATACAACACTGTTAACGCTGATTTTCTCTTTATCAACGTAAAGGAAAGCTGATGAGTTCCGGAATCAACTGCAAATGGTGTATTTTTTTTTCGTATTTATTTGATATGAAAAAGCATGCTATATTTTAAACAAGGCAGGTTACTGATGTAAAAATAAGCTGATGAGATTTCAGAAAAAATGTAAATATATTTCTACCTCTTCCATAATATTTCTCAATTCACTTTATTTCTATTATTAATGATATGCTTAGGCGAATATATTTTTAATGATTTATTGGAAGAACATTGAACCCCTTAATGTTGTATTTTGCAGTTAAAACCCATCAAGCAAATGCTGTTACATTAAAATCCTACAGATTTTTCATTTAAAATGTAACGGCTGAGTTAATTCATCAAGTTATTTTTTCGAAATGCATTATTTTATTGAAATGGAAATTTTCAAAATTTTGATCTGTCTTGCTTAAATGTGGATTAAGAGCTACGCTAACTACTGCGTAAATTGCAAATACATTGTGTAATTAGGCAATTAATGATCTCATGACATGTATGAACTTTTATATACGTAGCTATAATACTCAACTTAAGCTATCACCTTTTTTTAATATATGATATATCAATTTATAAGTTTAATTCAACATAAAAATATTCTAAAATTTGTACAGGAAAATATTATCGTTAACGAGATAAACATTGTCATAAAGTACCAGCCAACCAGAACGCGCTGATTGTAACTTACGGAAAAAAATCTTACCTCCTTCATAATCCCAGAATGGGATGCTTTTGTTGTCCAGGGTCAGGTGGGGGCCTTTAAAGCTGTATTTGTATTCAAAACTGATCGCTTGCTGCAACCCATAGGCTAGATCTATTAAAAAAAGCACAAGAATCCCTTGGGACCACATCGTGCTTTTAATGTTCTTAAAAAAAGTAAGTCACCCTTTCGTTTAAAATGGCTTTTAAATATATATATTTTCCATATAATCGTTTTCGTCCCATTAAAAAGGATAAATTCATCAGATATTATCTAACAGGTCAACAAACTTCAGTAGTAGTCTAATTCAATGCTTTGATGGTTAATTTAGTTTTTGGATGACTGGCCTCCTATATGAAAATAAATTATTTATAGAGTCTCTCTATTCCACGTCGGTGATGGAGACAGACAAATACTAAATGTACATGTATACATCAATATAATGGATATTATGATAATTTTTATTTATTCCAATATAGAATTTCCTCAAAATAACACAAAAATGGTCCTAATTCAGAATTTGTTTCCTTTGTTCAAAGAACACTATATTGTTATTTCAGATTACATACTAATAACAGATTATTTTTTCTTTTCACAAACTGTAAATGTATTTTTTTTGACTGTGTATTCTTTTTAGTGGCTTTGGTGGAATGGAGCAACCACTAAATCAAGTACTGAGCTAAAGACACATTTACACGAAGATAAAATATGAAGAAATACACTTAATCAAATATATGCCAACACATTTAATAACCAACTTCCGCAAAATCATAATTTATGTTTCCAACTTGAAGCAGTCGAAGCGGCAGAAAGACATTATAAAATGTATGTGACGTTGAACATCAAAATTGTTTAAAATATAGTATACTTCTAAATATCTTTCATACTGTAGAATTATTATCATAATGCAACAGGTAATTAAAAACTGTTGTCATTCCTGGAAGGAAATTACATATGGTTCAAATTTATTGATACAAAGAGGTCACAGAAAGGTAAAAATATTTCAAGTTTCTCATTCTAATGCAAATTTGTATCGATTTGACTGCACGTTTTGTTTCAGAAATAATAGAGCACAAGCTGTCTTTTTCACAAATTAATATATTTCATACACATCAGATGCATCTTATTTTTAGAAATCTCAGATAGGCAAGCTTATGCTCTATAATTCTCAATGTAAAAAATATCTCAAATTTGGAAATTAGGAAAAATGTCCTACATCTGCACCCTCTTGTGGCCTCCATATAAGCATAACTACACTCTATCAAAATTTAAACTGTGTTCTGACTTTTTAAATCAAATTAAGGTCCAGAATCGGCCGTTACCACACTCTGTCCTTCATATGAAATTCACGTGAATTTCATGTGAAGCATTTGTATGAGAAAGTGACAATAAGGAAATCTTGCTAAAGAGCAGGGGCGACTTGAGATATTTTGGTCCCGAATTTCTGCATTAATTTATCACTTGGACTCTTGGTGACTATCTATCTGTTGCACTTGACGTAATTTTATCTCTAGTCAACGATTATGACGTCATAAAATGCGTCATTTTTTCAAAAGATTGTCTATTTCCTTGCAAAAAGCAACATTTCATATGGAGCACAACTTCCAATCCAAATTTGCAGATTCACAGTGAAAGACCTACATGTACTTCTGAAGATCATAAAACATGTTTCAATTTTTGGCTTGAGTGCTGTGTTCATGTTTTAATTCTTTGCTGACGGTTGTAAAATATGCTTGTTAAATGCATTTTCGCAAAGCGTGTTTTCTAATACCTTTATTCTCAGACAGAAAAGTCTTCTTTATTTTGATATATATATAAAACAGAACATAGGTGGATAGTTAATTAATTGATATATTGACATTTTATGCATAAAGGGAAACTAAATCTTTATGTGATAATTTAAAGTGATTTTGATATAACTTTCATTTGAATTTTACAAGGAGAGCATATAAACTAAATGCCATGAAAAGAAAAATTCACTTGAAAGTTAAAAAATATATGTGACTATAATTGAAACTTATTAACATTATATTAGCATAAAAGCGCGTCGCGGTTTATAAAGCTTAAACTGCCCCCAGGTATGTAATATCGTATAACATTAGGTAAAAAAAGCTTCATTTCTTAAATAAAATTGTAAATTTAGATTTGAAAAATGTTGTTAAATAGATTCAAATCACACAAAACCACTCATATCAATTTCAATAGTCCCCGTCCACTGACGTCAGACACAAAACCAGACGCACGAGATTTACATGCATATTAGGCCTCCTCACACATGACTTTTTGCTCGGCGAAATTTATATTTCGGTTAAATAATCCAGAAATCAACTCACGTAACTTTCAAAGAGTTAATACAGAGATAACAAGTAGAAATATAAATATTATGATCTAACAGTTATTATGAAAAACGTCAGTCAGTAGTTGACTTAATGATAAATAGTATTTGCTGACGAAGTGATTGTATCGACCATAGAACTTAAGAAATGATGACTTAAAACCAATCAGCTGATATTCATGTATCAGGAATTTGCTTAAAAAATTGTTCATACGTAAAGCATGCTTTTGCGTATCAAATCAACTGAGAAATAATAAATCCAAAATGTAGGTGATGAAGGTATATTGCTGCATAAGTAAGGGGAGTTGTTGAAGATTAAAAAGTTAAAGTCATCTCGTTTATCAGAAACCAAAACCTGGACAAAGACGTGGTTGAGGCACTTATGCAATGGTTCGTTCAAATTGAGTTGATCATACACTATTGCAAACAACTGTCGAAAACCTGTAAAGAAACAAAAAAAACCCGACTTCCATTATAACAGTGAACGCGAGAAGGATAAGTGTTTCGAGTCCTTTGACAATAAAATTCCATTCTATAGATAACCAAAAAAAAAAAAAAAAAAAAAAAATCAACCTTGATCTGTAGTTTGTCACTTTTTTATTTTGTAAGTTCCCAACAAGAAAAAAAGGAAAACTGTGTTGAACAGACAGACAGAGGGACAGCGATTCGGACAGACAGACAGACAGAAGGAAAGACAGACGCAGATGAAACCTATATAGTGCTCTCCAGTTTCACTGGAAGGGTAATAATTACAATATTGGAATATAAAAAATATCAGGGAGTCAAAGAAAATATATATAAATCATGGGGATGATTGCCCATCCTAAGCACCTGATTGCAACTCTGTTATATCTGTTCTTTTTGATTCGTTTGTTTTAGATCGCGCGTTATCTTCACTATTATTTACTTTCTGATTTGCTTTTTAGAACGATCGTTATCATTTATCGTTTCATTTCAGAGAGAGAGAGAGAGAGAGAGAGAGAGAGAGAGAGAGAGATATGCATGCATAAAATACAATTAAGACGTGTTGACAGTATACATGTTACATAAATAGATATACTTAAAACACTTCTCTGGACATGTTAGTGAAATACAATGTAGTTTAAATAGTTCTTCCTGGTTTATGAAAAGATTCTAGGAACAGAAAGGGAAAGAAAACATCACCACGTACATTCTCGACATTCTTTCCCAGCAGCGTTCAATTTGCAACAATAAATAGTATCTTTTTATATTTGAATGAACAATGATAAAATTAACGTGCCTGAACCTGGAATTATTATTATGGATGTTATGTTGCGCACATGGTAAGAAAGGCTATTTATATGCTGAAATAATTTACATTATACGTATTACTAAATGAAATTTAGTTGGAGATAGTGAAAAAGAACAACTTATACACATGTGTATATGTTTTCATTTAGTTAATTTTTTCTTTATGAAATCAATTAGATATAAACGACGATCAAATCGTTGTAATTCGCACAAAACCTTGTCTCTATCCGGTTTAATACCCAAGTAGGAACTATCACATTTCCAAAATATGCATTTCTTGATTATTATTTTTTTTTTGACAAATATCACTCGTATATGTAGTATATGAATAAAAAAAAATCATGCTATTTTCCCGATTTGGGCCGTAATTTTTAAGTATTTTAAAGGTAGGATGTATACTACACTGCACTCTATTCGTAAGATGTATTGTCATATCTTAGATGTGTAGATAGATACTTAATAATTAATTTGTGGGAATAATTTAAAATTCCGAGGGAATGAATTGTTTTAACATAGAGATTGAATCACAAAACGAGATAACGGATGGGATAATTTGAGGGAACAAATTGACAATCTATGACAATTCGTTTTAACAGACGATTAACCCGAGAGAACGGATTGTATTATTCGAGATTTCAGTTTTCTGCTACATTTCATTGAAAAACTCCATGTCCCTTCATGGCTTTCATAGATTTAAACTAATTGCAACAAATCTTGCTTCTTGAGGCAGAAGGGATCAAAAATTCAAAGTTAACTTAATGAAGCCTACGTATAGGAAAACTCTTTGCAAATTATTCAGAACTGAACCTTTTTGAGTCTTTCTGACATTCAATGAATCTGTTGAAGTCTGCAACAATTCTTTTGATATTCATAGTGTAAAGAATTCAAGAACAATTAAATCGTCCATTTCCTAAATTAATTTATTTCAAAGTATTCTTTTTTTTGCTTTAAACTCTCTTTCTTTTGTTGACTTTTACATCCTTTCATATTTTGTTTTCAATTCCTTTATTGATATTTTTTATGAACGTGATTAAAGTGAAGATTTAAACGGTGCGTTTATCACACAGGCATGATCATTTAACTTGTGGGCATTTAATTTTAATTTAATTTTTGATATAAAAAATTATGAAAATATTCAACATTTGTTTCATTTAAGGACCGTTATTATTCTATAAGCATTTTTTTCAACGGCAAGTATACGAATGAGTTTAAAGTACTTTAATTTTAGAGCAAAAGTTAGAAACAGAATATGATCATTATATTTTTATTAATCAATTTAAGGACAGTTTTTTGAGATACAGACAAAGTTTTTCAATGGGAAGCTGATATTTACATGGAGCAATACCTCAACTATCCGTAATGATATACGCATCACTAAGGATTCTCAAACCAGTCCTTGGATAGTCGTGTTTGATGACCAGTACACTGTAGAGGATGTACTTCTCTACAAATCTGTCAGTATCAACGTTCGAGAGTATTACAATGAAAACTTCAACAAAGGTCAAGAGGACTACGAAAAGACATATTACGGTAAATATTTTTAAATAGGCGTTTATTAACAATTTGGGTTTTTTCCAAAATGGACGAAGTATCTGAATGGTTTTAGGGTGGGATTAAATAATCACTAGATGCATTCCATAAAGGGTACCTTTAACGATCGAGGTACGAGAATATGACGGTCAAGACTTTATGTTTATGGACTTCAATAGGACATACAACGGTAAGTTCATTTTAAAATGGAAATATTAAATATAAAAAAAAAACTAGATTTCAAAAACGCAAAACAACGAAAAGTTTTCCAATTCCGGCATAAAGAAATGAAAAAGAGTTTGCATTTATTACGTGACCGTGGAAGCAGGTGGTCAAAATGCAGTGTTTCACTTAATTCCGAGACGTGGCTGCCACATTTCCTACATGAGAAAAGTGTAAATGACATTAAGTAATGAGTGTCTGATAGAATATTTAGACGATTTTAACCATACCTGGAGACGATAAACTAAGAAAGGCTTAAGCCAAATGTTTATTTTAAATACCCATTCATTTGAAAAGCATAGATAATAAAGAAAATTGCAGGTTTATTCATTATTTCCATTTAAACATATGGTAAAATTTCTGCTTTGTTATCGAAATTACTTCAAAAGTTATACGATGGTTGTCCGGTAAAATCGTGGACAAGTTGTTGAGCGTGAAAAGTAATTCTAAAATTTTCCTCTTAAGAACATTTTTTTTATCAATAAATATTTTTAGTTTTTACACGTCATTTGATTAAGTAAAAGATTTTATACATTTCGTATAACATAAGTTGCCTACGTCACAATGAGTTACGTAAAAAACGTATTACTCCACTTGACGTTACTTTAAAACAATGCTGAATTTGAAGCCTTTATCTGAAGGAAAAAGTGTCTCATTGTCTTCACTGAAATTAAATTATAAGGAATGAAGCTTCGCAGTTTATAAATCGTAAACTGCCCCAAGTTATGTAAAATCGGATAACATAAGTTTAAATAAGCTTCATACCATAAATATGGCAAATTTCTTCTGTCTTATAATAAACGCAATTTTAGCAAAAAATAGTGAAATCTATATAGGTTCGTGACACTTCATTAAGTACATATAGTGTTGAAAAGAAGTATAACTCAACGTGGATTTTAACGTGGCTACATGTATGCCCTTGCAAACTCTGAATTTATACATGACCTCAAAACTCCAAGTGTATTTGCTTAAATAATGTGACTCCGACATCACCTGACAAGTCTCATAAATAAAATCTAAATGTCCTCAACATTCAATTTGAACCATATTACATTTTTCTGATGACAGTTAAGTCCTTTAAAGAATCGCCGATCCTAATAAAGTACATACATGTATGTATGTATTTTTTTTTTTTTTATTAAAATCGCCGATATTTCTATTTGTCACCTTAAAGTCAAAATCTAGTAAATAAAAGATGCCTACAGATTTATAAAACTTGAAAAGTAAATTTCTTAATTTATTGATACTTTACAACTTGTTTCGGGGCATAATTCATAGATTAACAAGATGAAAAACTGTCATTTTCAATGAAAAATTAAGAAACCCAGTCATGAACATGGGAGTTTTTTTCGTATTCGACAACGGAAATGCATCCAGATTGCCTACAGTCTCTCAGAAAACGGTAATTAGTATGTTTATCGCCTCTTCTTTAAATCAATATCAAAGTTAATATACTTTTTTCATATGATTTCAAATTGAATGACATGAAAATACCCTATTTTCTACATAATTCTGCTAAAGCCGTAAAGTACGGGAAAAAGAAAGTTGAAACTGATTATGACGTCATAATGGATCTAGCACCAAAAATCATTCTCACGTTATTTATTAGAACTTGACTTTAACTGTACTGCTAAGTGTCATAAAGCAAAATAAAAAATAACGAAAGCAACTTAAGTATTTATAAACACTTTATGTTTGATTAATATTCTTTTCCTGTGAATATCCAATAATAACAGTCAGTAAAAGATGTTTAACACTCAACGCTCTTTTAGAATTTTCAATAGGTTTTGAACAATTGTGTCATTTTCTTTCCTATTTTAGTCTTTGCTGTAGAGTCTATGGTGGGTGAATCAAAAAATGTTTCATGGACTGTCGAATATTTTCCAAGAAGTGGAATATATTTCATTTTTCATGAATATAACGGTACAGTTTCAACAGTAATAGGGATAGAAAATGCTGATCCGCTACCGACTGAAAAGTATGTATATCACACCCGACCATTCAATTCTGTTAACATACTGCTAGAGGTCAGAAACATAACAGTGGAAGATGCCGGATATTACGTAGGAGGTTCCACGGAGGCGGATGCCTGGAGAGGAGGAGGAGTTGTTCTTATTGTCTCTGGTAAACTGTATTGTTGTTTATGTCTTACTTATAATATCTTATTTCTACAGTAATATACTGATATAGTTGAGTAGAGCTGTTAAATCTTGTAAAAATATAAAATCTAAAAACTAAATCTGCGCTAGTTTATTAATGTAATGCTTAATGCAGTTCACACATAAAAATATATTTAGGAATGCCAGAGAAACCAATAATAACAGGAACACTTAATGTCAAGGTGGGGGACTACGCTTTCTTGAAATGTGAAAGTAGATCTACATCGGCTCCATACTATTACAAGAAGTTTCCGCCATTATCGTATTCATGGTTTGTCAACAACACCAGACTAGACAGAGAGATTAGAGAGACATACAACTTTACTGTCACCAAAGACGTTAAATACAACAGATACAGCTGTCAGGCAAAGGAAACCCTAGAATCAGAGAAAAGTGAAGAAACTCAGATTAACCCTTTATGTTAGTAGAGTTGTAAGTTCTAAGTAACATACACAATCATATTTTTTTCGAAGAATGCGATAATTTAAATAACCTGCACGTCTTGGTTAATATTAATTAATTCATAATAATTACTTAATGCTAAGTCAGGAAATTTCAATCATGCCCCTTTGTCTTTGTACAGAGGGTAGCCAGCTCGTTATTAAAGAAAACAGGAAATATTAATAATTAACTAAATAATGCATGATAACATTGAAAAATAAGTCAATAGTTGATTAGAGCTGTTTAAAATAATTTTTAATAATGATAATACTATTGATTCATTAGACAATTTAAAACTTATATAAATCTGTTTTTTGAAGAAGTGCAATTTGAAAATTTTAATTAATTAGAGTGACAACCATCAGAAGAGGGACATGAACTCTTTTTAAATGGTGTTTTTTTTTTTTTTTTTTTTTTTTTTTACAGATGGTCCAGATACTATACTTGTAACCCCCGGGCCACCCATTGACGGACTAAGTATTCATGACGGGGGAACTTTTGGTCCATACACCTGTTCAGCTGACTGTAACACACCTTGTACCGTGCAATGGAAGTATAAACACCCAGACGGGGGTCTCAGAGACGCTACATCAAATGGGACGACTACAGTTACCGTACCAGTACAAACAGCTAATAGAAGTAGTATGGCCTTGATTCAATGTGTTCTAAGCGGCATTGAGGGCAAAATATTATCACCTATCAAGTTTAACATTCAGTGTAAGATTGTTTTAAAGCATGTCATAGTATATTAGCTACAATTAAAAAATAAAACGAAACAAATAAAATAAAAACAAAGCCACACCAACAATACAAGGAGTGCAAACCAACAAAAAAAAAAGAAACGGTTAAATTTGCAATGTAATAGTTAAAAATGTTTTCTCCTTGATATTTCAAATGAAGGAAAGGACATAATTATTTCCATAAAATCATAATCACAAATCATAATTTGAAATATGACTTTTTAAAAACAAAACAACAAAAACAGTTAATGGTTTATACTGCTGTTTAACTCAGAATTATCTATATAACAACTTCTGTATTCCATTTATGTGATGTGAAAATATTCAAATCTATGTTGAGAGTCTTTTTTTTTTAAATTCCTTACTGTCCTACTTTTTTGGCAGCAAAGTTAGAACAAAGTTGTTTTTCATATCACAAACCACTGTTAAGATATCTACTAACATGGTTTTGAAGTAATAGGGGTGACACCTGCCAGTGGTTAGCATTGAAACTTTGCTAGGCGTCGAAACATTTTATAAAAACTATTTACAATTTATAGAATCAGGAAAGCGATTTACTCTAGTTGTTAAAAAGAGAGAAAATTTCTTAGTGATAGTGATTAGATTATTTGTTTGACAGGATATAAGTAAAACACCCTAAACAACCATGTCTTCTTGATTTCGTCTATATATTTTATTTTAGCATTTTTAGTCTCTTACGGCAAACCTAACTGCAGATCATTTTTTCTATGAAATACCTTTATTTTATTCTTTTCTTTAGATTTATCGAATCCAAAGATATATATTAATGGCAATCTTCAAAAAAGCCGAACAGTTGATGAAGGATCTCCTCTACTTTTGGTTTGTAATGTGGAGGGAAATCCAATGCCCGAGATCATTTTGAGAAAACTCACTGGTAACAAGATCCTGGGACAACATAGAAGTACCTGGTTCAACCACACAATGATCAGGGAAGCCCAGTGCTCTGACACAAGCACCTACAGCTGTGAAGGAAGCTCTTCAGAGTTTGATAGCAAATATCAGTCAGTCAATATCAACGTTCTTTGTAAGTTTATATACTTTATGATTGTATAGAAAATTTAATTTAAACATTTCAAAATATTTATTACTTTTGTACCACGCGGCATCAATATTTACATGTACAACTGTAGGTACAATTTTTAAAAGAAATATACCGGTATGGTATTTTACAATTGCTTATGTTATATAAATATTCAACAATATTATAATAACCAACAAATAGCGTTAGTTTTACCTTTAGGATATTGAACGCGTTGATTTTTATATAAACTTTACATGTAAATGACTAATTGTATTTTGGTTCCAAACTGAATCCATATGCATGTACCTATTCAAACAGGTTTTAAACTTCTTTTTAACACATAAAAAGGAACATCTGTTGAAAAGTTGTGTATAATGAATTGCCATTAATTGTTTTTCTTTTACTTATTTTCTGTATATTTTCCCTAAAAATGAATGAGCTCTAATTTCTCAAATGTAAACATACTCCATTTTTGCATGGTATTCCAGGCGACCCTCGCCTCGATATGTCGACTCTAGTTAAAACCAACTATGGTTCCATGAGTGGCCCGGATGTTATTGTGCCTGTAACTGTGCCAGTGATTGCAAATCCTGCCATATCTCCATCAGGGATCACGTGGTCAGGTCCGTCAGCAACTTCTATATTGACAAGTATAGATACACAAGGCGATACTTTTATATACAAACAAATGATCAAAAGCAGCATCCCAATTCCTGACCAGAGAGCCTTCGGAAACTACTCACTAATGTACAGAGGGAAAACGATTGTTGATATTATAATTAAGTCAGAAGGTTGTACCTTTTACAATAATATTTGAAATAAATTGAGTTTAAGATCTTCTAAATGAGCTGATATCTGTCTTTTGAATGCTAAATCCATTATAAAGTTAAAATAATATAAACTCATTTTAGATATAATGTAAAGCTTATTGATACTATTTAAAAAAAAATAAACATGTTCATCGAGCAATTTGAATTCATGTCAAAAAGAATCCCTATTGCTGTATTAAACTAAATAAAAGTTATAAAAAAAAAAGACAAAGAACATGAACATAATAGTTTTCTAAGAGATATGGTTCCCTTGCTTGATATGTAAAACGACTCGTATATTTAAAATAAATGACTTGCTTCATTTTGTATTGAACATGGATGTTAAGGTTATTAAACCCCCTGCTTGCTCATATAAAATGTTGCTTTAATGCTCCAAAACAAATGTGTTATATGAGGAAAATACAAACAATTGTATCATAGCTTGCAGGGCACATTTGGCCAATAAAGACATTTTAACTTGTCAAATTTATTTACGAATAATAGACATTTGTGTCATCAAGAGTTATCTCACTTATCAGAGTATCAATGAACCTTAAAACTGAAATTGAGCCAGATCAATATTTTTGTAGGAATTCATAATGGAATTTTTTTAAATTTAAAGGAACATTTATCAATTAGATTGATTGATTGTATACTGTTTAACGTCCCTCTCCAGAATATTTCACTGATATGGAGACGTCACCATTGCCGGTGAAGGGCTGCAAATTTAGGCCTATGCTCGGCACTCAGGGCCATTGAGCAGGGAGGGATCTTTATCGTGCCACACCTGCTGTGACACGGGGCCTCGGTTTATACGGTCTCATCCGAAGGACCGCCCCATTTAGTCGCCTTTTACGACAAGCAAGGGGTACTGAGGACCTATTCTAACCCGGATCCCCACGGGAATTTATCAATTAGATATCTACCTTTTAAATTAAAATGTTATGTTTTTCTCAAATATTATTCATTAAACATCGAATTTTTTTTTTGATTTTTCGATTGTATGATACGCAAATTTTTAGCAAATAACTTTGTTTATTTGTTTATTTCATTGTAAGACATCCATGTAGAATAATGAATTGGATCTCTACGTGCAGTATTCAGATATTTTAACATTGACTAATGACGTTTACTTGTGCTTTTATTCTTGCATTTATTTTACTTTGTAAGATAAACCTCAACCTCCTTTAAAATTTACCGGACATTCCTACGCCTCTGGGTACGTCAATCTCACCTGGATATCAAACTTTAATGGCGGACTGGACCAAGTCTTCACCTTGTATCGTAAAGAGGGGTCCAACTGGAGAGTTATCAAAAATTTAACAGACCCGGGGGAAGGTGAAGTTGGGTTCTTTGACCCAGGACTGTTGAACACAGGTCAAGAATACTGGTTCCGGTTAGAGAGTTGTAATAGAATCAGCTGTTCCTCAAGGCCTGCTGAATTCAAGGTCACAGTGCGAGGTAATTAAATAATTGGTTTGTAATATTCGTATCCTATATTCTTTATATGCCACAGAGATTCAAACATAATGCATTTTAAGTGTGTAAACATAATGATAAGTTCGACACTTAGAGCCCTTACAGTAATATGCCAATGCAAAATGACAATGAGGTACATGGAAAAAATAATGATCAATTAACACTGTAATTGTGAACTTAAATGGAGGTTATGAAATAACGCATATATTTATTTGTTAAATAAACGCTTTCATTAATATTCATTGTGACGTGTAGTACTCAAGATAAAAAGCTCAATAAATTGAAAAAAATTGGAAGCAGATTTTATTAAATAGAAATGCAAATCCCTTACTTCTAAGCAAAGAGGGTACATCAAGGAAACACGTAGTCAATCTTACGGATCCTTGACAAAATAAACCCGTCTATTTTGACCCAGGATGTTTGTAAAAGAACGCTTGTTTCAAGTAAACCTTGTAATTACATGGAATGTAAAAGGCCACTGGAATTCACAATAACAAAACAAGGTATCAAATTTATGCAATTTTGCTAAGTATATTTTGTTGCGTCTACATATTTAAAACAGATAATATTGTCCACAAGCATCGCCCACAAAGATAAAGAGATGTGATTTTTCATAGAATTTGAACAGTATATCTAACAATCAAATTCAAGGAATTGTGGTCCCCCGCTTTCGGTGTCATTGTGGGTGAGATGTCATTTTTTATGACGTATTGTGTGTAATATGAACACCCTATCATATGTCATTTATTTAGAAATCAGCATTGAACTCAAGGTCAAACGGTTAAAGTTCTTGGTATCCAATGTAAAGTCTTTTCATAAGGATTAGTAGATTACATATTTGAAGAATGAGAGCCCTCTTCCTTACCATTAAAAAGTTATTGTCAAGGTTTAAGTTTTTATTAGTACAAAAAATTTCCAAGGTCAAGGTCAAAAGGTCAAGGTTGTTGGTATCAAATGAAAGGTCTTGCCAAAAAGAATGCATATGTGAAATATGAAAGTCCCAGTATCTACTGTTCCAAAATTGTGGCGAAAGTAAAAGTTTTTGAAAAGTAGGTCAAATCCAAGGTCACGGTCAAAGGATCAAAGTTCTTGGTATTTAATGAAAGGTCTTCTCACAAGGATTACACATATGAAGTATGATAGTCCTAGGCCCCTACCATTCAAAAGTTTTGGTCAAGAATAAAGTTTTTTCATAAGTACATAAATCTCCAAGGTCAAGGTCAAAAGGTCAAATTTGTTGATATTCAATGAAAGGTCTTGCTACAAACAATACATATGTTAAATATAAAAGCCCTGGTACCTACCATTTAAAAGTTATGACCAAAGTAAAAGTTCGGATTTTTTTTTGTAAAAGTGAGTCTAACTCCAAGGTCAAGGTCAAAAGGTCAAATAAGGTGAAACCCTAAGAAAGTTCTTGTCACAAGGAATACACATGTGAAATATGAAAGTCATAGCTCTACTAAATCAAAAGTTATGGGCAAGGTTAAAGTTTTTGTGACGGACGGACAGACTGACAGACAAACAGACAGACGGAGAGACGGACAGACGAATGAGATTTAATTTTAAGTGGACGACGGCTGTGGATACAATTTTAGAATGGAGAATTACCTTTGAAATATGTCATGTTGAGGATTTCTTTCAGTTTAAAATCGCGAAATGCATTAGAGTAATGACGTCATATTTCTAGAATAGTTATCCTTCATACCATATTTTTCCTGATCTATCAAGTCATAATCTCTACCAGTATTAAAGCAAGTTTCAAATCTTTTTGAAACCATTTTGAAAAAAAGAAATTAGATATAGGTAAATCGTACCTTCTTCTTTACAGATGTATGTGCAGTTTCTAGAGAAGCCTCTACTCGGACGGCCTGGGTGGTTGTTGGAGTCTTCATTGGTTTATCTATTTTGTTGCTGACACACTTTGGTGTTTATAAGTTTGCTTTTTATCGAGGTAAATCTTTTGAAATTCTAAATCTTTATTCTTGTTATTTATCTTTAACCTCTCCATAAGAAGGTTTACGAACACAACAACGATATGTTAATCTTTTAGGCCTTTATTTTTTATCTGAATATCATGTTCTTCATTATTTGATATCTAAATAGTGAATGTAGTGCATAACTAACAAGGATATTGTTCGAAGAAGATTGTATAATTCCTCCTTATTTTTAAAAAACTTATTAATTGATTTTTTAAGCTTTAAAAATCATACTTGATGGAAACACAATAAAAAGGGTATAAAATCAAAATAAATACCAGTTTAAAATATGTAAGTGACACTGAAGTTGATTTTGACTATGGTTCATGACCATAAAGCGAATTTCAGTGGGCTTGGTGTATATATAAATGAACTTTACAAAAGTTTATTTTTAAATTAAAGAAAAAAAAATGGGGATGTTATTTATATAGAATCTTTTAATCTTTGCTCAAAACGGATTCAAAGTTTATCCTATTTCTCCAAGGTGATGGTTTCCGAGAATCTGGAATAAGAAGATTGTTCATGTAAAAGCAATTCTTTGAGATGGAGTTTGAATTGGAAACGTTGAATGATAATTTCAAAATAGTGTTAGTCTTATAAGATCGTATAAACAAAATTACAAATTAACGAATTAAAACATACATAACAACAAGGATGTGAAGAGTGAAAGTAGAAATAATCCCATAGCCTTTTTCAATTTTCAAAATTCAAAGTTTGAGGTCTGCATTTCTTCTCGTTGTATGTATCTAGGAGTGAACTTCCAGTGGTTTTTATTCAACAGAAGCCAAAAAAAACAACAACATTTTTTCAGAATAAAAGCTCTAACAAGGGTAAAAGAATCATTTGAGTCTGAATTTAGATTTAAATAATTTTCTAAAATCAAAGACATCAGTGAAGGTAATTGCATGTTTTCAAATAATCGTTTGAGAAAAGTAAAGATGGCAGGATTAAAAAATCTCCCAGACGGGGTATTAAAATCAGGAACAACGAAAGCTTCTTATGTACATCTCAACTGAATTAATAGTTCATGATGAACTGGTCAGTTTTCATTAACTTAAATTTGAAAAATAAAAATGAACAAAATTAAACGAAACAAAGTTGAGATATCTTACAAACAGAGCATTTCAGTTAAAGAATAAAAACCTAAATAGGGTTGATCGAAAAGTTTGTTAACGATGTCAATATTTGTTGAACTACTTTAAAAAAGAAATAAAAGAAGCAGAGCAACACTTGTAAAAATATCAATTTTGTTGCTGAGCGAAGTTTTTCCATAAACTGAATTGACGCCGTGATTTTCGTTATTTCCCGATTATGACAAGTACACAAGACGGGTAGGACCGTCCAGCAGAGGATACTCGCTCTTCTATGGCACCTGATCCCATCTCTGATGTTTTGGATGTCCGTGTTTGCTCTGCTCCTATTGTCTATTGTTTTATGGACTTTTGAGCTTGAATACTGTTTGTCATCTCCATATGTTTCATATCTTCTAACAGCAATACAAAGAGGTTTGAATAAACCACCTCAGCCATCCAACGATATGAAAATCATGAATAAAGAATATGAGAACATTAATGACGTCACCGAAGAAACACAACATCAAAATCCTAACACTCAAACATACGAAGACGTAACAGAGAACACAGAGGAAATACAACCACTGACAGATTATCAGAATATCATTGGACATCAGGATAACCAATATGAAGAGTTAAAGCCTGATCAAGATAGACTTTACTCGTCTCTGAAAGTTCAATGAACTTACGTATAGAGGTAAACCTTTTTATGTATAGAGAACTTTCATTTTTTTCACAAATGTATATTAAAATATTTTAATTAATTTTGAAAGACAAGGTACTACACTATTTGCCTTTAACTTATAAAATAGATTCGTTTGAAAAAAAATATCAGCGTAAAGAGAGAGAGGATGAAATAAATACAAAGATTATACAATATCCTTCGTGCTATTATAACATTTTTGAGCTGATAACCACTTTGATTTCTGAGGAGTTGAGATTTTTTTTTTTACAGGCTCATTATATTATGGGAGGAAACATAATTATACTTAAAATGCGTAACACTTCCATAAATTAAATATTCCTATCTATTTTGTTTTATTTTATTGTGTTTCATTATTTTATTAACTATTGTCTTTTCTTTACATCTTTATATCAGAAAGTACCCAAGTTTTATTTGGTATTCACATATATTTTTTAATGTTTATTTCTCATTAAATGTGCTATTGATAATTTTGTCTATGTATGTTTGTTTCAATACGTGTGTGCGTACATATACTTAATTGTTTTTAGAATTCATATTTGTTCCGAGACTCAAACTCAGACATAAAAAAAAATATTGTTTTGTCCTGATCTTCTTTTGATTGTACAAAATCTGAATAGTTTATTTTAAACAACGGTCATATAATGACCAACAATTCTTACATGTATGGTTTCCTTTTTGAAAATTATATATGTTTCCATTGTCGTCTTGACAATTTTTGAAGCAATGGGAAGCTAAAAAGGATTCTGTTTTGTAAACAAAATTGATATATAATTTCAATTTGTGTACATTCTGATATTTCTACTATATTTATGTGCAGAAACAAATATTCTGTTTCTATTTAAATCTCATTCAAAATACACACTCAGTTGATGTATAATAATAAACATGTCTCTGTAAACGTAAAAACGGTTTTCAAAAAGTTATGGAGAAAAAGATAAAAGCTTTAAGGAATACATATTTAGTTTTATATCTAACAGACATGTTTTTTCGTTCGTATTGTTATTAAGAAAGAAAATTTTTCATGACAATATTGTATCTTTTTAATGACTTTTATATTAATACATTTCAACCGATATCGATTAAAACAAAATATCTGAATGACGCAATTGAAGGATTTCCTTCTATGTTTTTTTTAAATCAAAGTTTTTTCTTTAAATCGAGGATATCAAAATGCTTTTTCAGTTAATATTTTTTTCAGTAAATATTAACACAGAAAAAAACGAAAGAAAATATGTTGATTTACATTATCAATACACGTTTAGAAAGAATTGTGTCTTAATATATATTCATTTTCGGAAATAAAGCATTTATAATTTTTTCCATAATGACTTCAAATTCAAAATGCTTTAATTCTGTCATTATAATTTTAAAAATTGCACTTTTTAAATAAATCTTGTTTACATACATATAATTAGTTTCCTTGTTTATGGCTCACTGAGAGGGCCTGATCTAAACCTTGATTGTAGTTATCTCGTCTAACAGCTTGGGCAAAAATTTCAAGGAAAAAAGAAATATGACGGATTTCCCTCGCGTTATACCAATATATAATTTTACAGTCAACTTATTTTATCATTCAGACAGCTAAAACGTTTAATATTGCTTACTTTCATTAGAACATCAACATTTTAAAGTTGTGAGAACTTTTATACTTCAACTTATGAAACGTCTAATAAATATTCTCATCAGAGTATAACAGGTATATTAATATTCGAAAATAAGGCATTCTTGTATTGATTGGAAAGTCAATTTCAATTTTTCTGGGGAAAAATATATCAACTGAAAGAATTCATTTTTCGTATTGCGTTTTTTATTCCAGAACATAGTCACGAACTAAGTTCATTCCCCCAAAACGTTTTAACATTTTTGTGTTTATTTCTGAATTAAACGGTCACAAACTGAGTTCTTATTATACCGGCGACGTGTTAGCAAGTTAAAAGATATTTGAGAAACATTCAAGGCTTTCAATGTATCTCGATATTGATCCGAATGTCGTTTCAAACAATGGAAAGATAGTTTTACCTCTTTAAAATGAAGGTACTTACAGTGTAAGTAATGTAATCAATTAAGAGGCAAACATGCTGACATATAACGTAATTTTATGCTAAAAGTTTGGTATTAAAATAATGATTGGCAAATGATTATTCTACAAGTGATATTAAGACGGAGTATATATATATATCAGTTGATTCGATACGCACGAGCATACTCTACGTATGAACAATTTCTTAGACGAGGTAAATTATTGACAAACAAGTCGATGAAACAAGAACGTCAGCAGTCTCGTTTTCAGTCATCATTTCTTAAGTTCTATAATCGATACAATGACCTTGTCAGCAAACACAATTTATCATTTAGTCAAATGCTGACGGACGATTTTCATACCAATTGTTTATTTCAACCAATTGTCAATTATTTATACACGGAATTGACTACGGAATTTTCCATTATTTCCTGATCATGACAAGGAGCACACGGCGGGTGTGACCGGTCGGCAGGGGATGCTCAGTCCTACATGACACATGATCCCACCTCTGGTGTTTCGGGGGTCAGTGTTTGCTCTGCTCTTATTTTGTATTGTTTTATGGACTTTGAGATTGAATACTGTTCGTTATCTATATGTACATATCCTTCATTAATAAAACGCTTAATTGGAAACAAAATTTATTCTGTAAAAAATGTAAATGTATGGTATTACAAAATATACATATAATTTAATATTTGACTTCAGAATTTGTAGAAAAGAAGGAAAACTTGTGGAAGGAAAGACAGTCGATAAAATAAAGATAATGTCTATGATACGGAAGAAAAATAGAATCACGATAAAAAATATCTTAATGCCTGACCTCTATCCTGTCAATGAGGAAAGCCCAATTTGACACTGCATGCTGCATGAGATCTGTACTAAAGAATTATAAACACACATTAATTTAATAGTTTTAATCTGTTTTTTTTAATTTCATTTTTTGGAATGTTTGTGTTCGGGGGGGGGGGGGGGGGGGGGGGGTTATTCTCGCTTTATTTTTATACATACGTTTATATACATAGTGATCGGTATATCCATTCGTCTGTACGTTTGTCTGTCCGTCTGTTTCGCTTTGGGGGTACTCATCTCTTATCCGCACTCCTCTCATACAACTGAATGAAATTTGATGAAACTATAACAGAATCTTTATCACATATTGCCATTGTGCAACACCTATAGTATTTTTTGATCCGACACATATTTTTGGTTTACTATAGCAAAACAAAGACACTGTCATTATATTCAAATGGGAGGCGGGAGGTATTATTTAGTGAGCTCATTTCTCACAGTTCCTTTAGTTTTTTTATTATTCTGATGGAAAATGAATTAACATTTCTGTACATGACTCACCAAGTTTGGTCCATACATTCACCTCTGTTGTTTTTTCCCTTTTCAACACAGTGTTAAGAACAAAATAGTTTTCTCTTATGCACAGTACTTATATGGAATACTTAATGTAGAATACTTAGAATAACTGAATAACTATACATGTGTATTTTCGGAACAAAGCAAAGGTTAAATGAGAAAGATTGTCTCTCAATGTAGGATACACAATTGTAAATCACTAAGGCGATTTATTAAGTTACCTTTTAAAGACTTCAAATTCAGTTGATTGTGTAGAATTGTGACGTTATAAAGAGATAATAGTTTTGGGTTAATATATTGCCCTAAACTTTCTATCATTAAACTTGTTTCTGTATAATATCCTTGATGAAAACATGCATAACGGTGTAATTTTTGATGTACACAATTTAATGCCCATGTTTTGCTAAATGATAAATATAAAAAAAAAACAACTATGATTACTTTCAAAAAATATCCTTGGAAGACCAAATTATACTTTACAAAAAAACCCCATAAAGTTACAATATTGCATCAAGATCAAGACATCAAAACAAACAACTTTGCAATACTTATACGACCAAACCCAAAAGGGAAATTTAACACTTTACAACTTACTGTCCTGTTATGCAACATACACTCAATAATCACGTCATGGAAATAGAAATTTACCATTTCCCCGCAAGCACCTTTTAGCTTGGTACAAGTTTCTCTAAAGTTTAGCGTAAATAATATTATGACGCTTTATTTCAATACAAAAATAACTTTTCTTATTTGATGAGATTTTTGCAAGTATAAAATAGAAGGAAATAGTCATTAAAGTAACGATTAAATGAACTTTTTAAAGTGCGTGAAAATGCGTGATTGCGGGGAAACGGTATATGCGTGATTTTGCGTTAGAAATAGGAAATGGTATTTGCGTTAAAATGCGTGACTGCGGGGAAGGGGGTTAAGTCCGAATTTTGACATCATTGAAACCTGCATATTGCATAATTATGGATCTGTTTACATTCACAATTTCTTTTATAAATAAAATAAGCTTTGCAGACGATCAATGTCTGGAATGTAAATTGTAATTGAAAGAACTCTTAAAAATGTAAAAAACAATAATGTTGTACAAAGTGTTGGAAGCTTCTGACAAAATACGTATTTAAATTAGCTTCTAGGTGATGTTTTCGTTTTGTTCATACTCATAAATTACCTTTCTTTTTTAAATTTTGATTTGAGAGAAAAATTTGGAAACTGAGTTTTTTCGTATTAAGCATCATCTCTTCTGTTTGTAATGTATTTTTGAAATAAGTTCGTTGAGTGTTGAGACAACGTTGTTCATTTTTAAGCGGTTAGCTTCGCTAGCCGCTTTATGGCATGTGTCCGATTTTTATCGACACCGGAAACTTCCATAAGGCGCTACCTATCGACTACGGAAACTTCAACAAAGCCTCTACCTAGTACCTATGATTTGTTTCTAACACATATAACACATGTTAAATAAAATCAAGACTATCAAAACAACATAATTTTTCGGTTTTTAATTTTTTTTCTGATTTTGTTTGTCAATGAAATAAATTTATAATTGTTGTATTAAAAAAAGTTTATGTATAGGAGCATTTGGTGTCGAGATTAAATTTCCGTGACATCAGCTGATGGCGATCGGGCCCTGTGACGAAATTCGAAGTCAGCATGAAGTTTAGCTGATAACATTATCAACGCGTTAGATTTAAACTTTAGGAAGAAATGTATAGCGAGAAATATCATATTTGAACCCAATATGCACAGAAAAAAGAGGCATGAAAAATCTTAACAATTAGCACAAATTGAAAAATATATCTAATGAATGATTATTTTAATTTATTGCTTATGCGACGTATTGAAGAAAGTGACAATGATACCTAGGTAATTCTTGCAATGGACAATTAAATTGTTTTTTATACACTGACTTTTAGTGAACCTTTGAATTTTTAAAATACTAGTATTGATGGATTAAACAACAACTTTCCTTTTCACACGTTTTTTTTTATACAATATTTCATGAAAAATATTTACCAAATACTCATCAGTATATGTTCGTTTATACATATCGTGCAAAACTCTTTTTTAAAGAATTGTCTTATACCATTTACTTATTCGAACATTTAATTGTATGAAAAATCAATATTGTACATTTCTTAAAACTTTATTATCTTGTTTACTTGTCTTTCTTCCTGTGAGAGAAATAGTTCATAATATTAATTAACAGATGTACTCAGTATCTGTATCAAAATACAGAATGAACAGTGATCGGTCTCAAAAGAAAAACGGATCCTTGAAAGTTCCGGTGCCTAGGAGAAGTAAGCATCCCCAATGACAGGTCACACCTGCTGACCCGCAGTGAGCCTACGAAACTGAAGCTCTCTGAAATTAATTAATTCTCTGCTCGTCCATCCGTTTTTCTCAGACTAGCCAGCTAAAGATCTGTGTACAGTACTCCAAACCAATTAATTTAAAGAATTTGAATTATCATTTTATTTTCTTTTTGAGTTGTTTGCTATAGTAGCCTTTACAGTTACCTAATTTCAGAATCAATAGACCATGAAAGCCAATTAAATTTGCAACATCAACATAATTTTTTTTTTCGTTCTGAGCACTTTTGGACGCCACCAATGGAGACAGTTAGGGAGAAATTTTTGAAATTGAACTTCCTGTCTTTTAAACTGAAAATCTCAGGTTGATATTTTGACACAAACATTTGAGACATCAGTCTGGGATGTTATTGGTTTTACCATTTAGTTAAGTACCACAAAATTCAGCGTGTCTGCTTCTTCGCTGATGACACTGGAAAAAGATATGCATGCTTACTTTAATGTCATCATTCAATGCATTTTTTATTATTGTACACTGTACATATTCGATGAAAAGCATGCTAACCGCTTTTCAGTACTTTCAGTACTTTGATTCTCAAAAGTTTTACATGAGAATGAAAAAGAAAATATACACATATATTACTACATAATTAAACATCGACTTTAAATTTAAATATGTTTTTGAAGAAACTATTAGATATCGCACTATCTACATACATAAACAAATTTACAAAAGAAAAGTCCTCCATAAGTTCTAATAATACACGTAAAGTGTATATGTCAACACAACTTAATAAAATAAGGAATATTTTTTCTCAATTGCAAACAAAAAAATCTTCAGAATACAACATTCTACTATGTTTTTAAATGCTCTATATTTTCATATTAAACTTTTATAAAACATTCTTTTGTAAGGAAAATAAACAAGCAAGAATCCTTTTACAGGATTCAAAAATACACTAAAAACATAGATAACACAAATAATAAATCTATATATATAAATATTTTTGAAGTTTTTTTAATAAAAAAAAAATCCGAGTGTCTTACATTGGTGTGGAGAAAACATTCAATGGGAAAAGATTAATGGGGGTCTATTTCTTTTTTACATAAAAAGTCTTGATCTAACATCTATTAATGCATATAAGACTTGTGGTGATTATTTTCATGGACATATTTGTAAGAACTGTATTAAACAAATGGATGAAAAAGATACATTATTATTATTATTATCTTTATTATTATCATTATGAAAATTAATTGTATATTCATAAAGTAAAAAGAAATGCAGGAAAACAGTTAAGCTGAAACAATTTTATTTTTCGTCATGCATTTTCTAGCATTCTTATCTAACGTTTAAAATAATCTTTAATGAAAATATAATAAAATTCCATTTGATTTGTCTCATAATTCATGAAATAATGAAATTCATATGACAATACCCTCCAAAAATGAAAATAAAAATAATTCTTATTATCTCCAATTACTCTATCGCACATCTGTCACCTCCTTGATTCTCCTTTGCACGGAGATCATCAGTGTATTTATCCTTCAAATAGGGATATTATTCAAACCTTTCAACAAGAAAGTCCTCGGTTGAAAGAGACCAGATTTGGTTTTTCGAATCCTATCTTCCAATTAGTCCCACAGATGTTAAATGTGAAAAGATGGAGTTTAAAGAAGAAAGTCGAGTGGATGTATGTGATTGTTTGCAAGAAAGTCTTGATAAACCCAGGCTACATTGGGCCTGGGGTTAGCACACTGAAGAAATACGAAAGGGCGCGCGCATGCACCAATATGAAGAAAACCAAAGTAAAGTTCACCAGCTCAGAAATACAAATTATGCAATCGTTTTCTTTCAATTTTAGTAGCAAGCACGGCACAGTGGTAAGAGTGTCTGCCCTAGAGTCGCAGCGTAAGGAGTTGATCCTTATGTCGCGGGTTCTAATCCGACCGTGGGACATGGAGACCGGTCCTTGGATGAGACCATAGATACCGAGTTCCCGTGTCGCAGTAGGTGCTGGCAAGAAAACATTCTTCCCATGTTCTGAGTGCCAAGTATAAAACAAAATTTGCAGCTGCCCACCGACAAGTTGTGGCGTCTCATATACTAGCAAGTAAAAATTCTCATGAGGGACGTTAATCAATATACAATCAATCAATCGTTCAGTTTTAAGGTGATTGTAATGATTATATAGCCAGCTGTATTAAAACCGGCTTTTGTGGTAGTAAGGTGAAGAATATGCAGGTGGCAGAGTGACACGATCTCTTTTACGCGTCAATGTCATCGTTACAGTCCGTTCAAAACCATTCCAGGTCCTTCCTGACGACGGTCAAAGTGAGTCCGTTCTATAGGGGGAGAATAACAAGAGATGGTATAGCATTTCGTTGTTGCCTTTGTTTATATTAATTTTAGGCAAGGTTAAAGCCAGACCAATATGGAAATTTTATTAACCGTTACGATATTGAAACAATTCAAATCTACTGTAAATGTTTAAAAAAGTTTATCAAATGGTACAAGAAGATCGTGAACAAACAAGTCGTTATCAAGTTGCATTTGTTTTTGTCTTTCCGCACTTCATGTGATGTCCTACATTTTACGGCTGGGTTATTCTGAATACTGATTTAATTGCAGAGTTATCATGACTCTCATCTGACTAAGTTCCTAATTTTCACTCTTGCTATCAAGAAAATTATGCATATTTTCTTAACCTGTGGAAAATATGCTTGAGTTTCGAGATCTCATAAATTGGTAAAACTGATCGTCATTTTCATTTATTTGGTAGCGTATTTATGTAGAAAGTTTCCGAAATCTCAAAAAATGAAAATGCTAAAAGATTTTATGAGGATGAAATAAAAAAAACTACGGATAACGATTGGTTTAAAGTGGAAAAATAGTTAAATGTTGAAATCTTCGTATTGATCATCTTGATCTCGACTGCATGTTAGATTTTGAAACTCAGTGGTCTGCCTTGTGCTTATAACTTCAGAGTTTACAACATCGGAGTTAGCAATCCCTTCGTATTCATTGGACTGCTCTTCCAGTTCTTCCTTTTCCTCAATGTTAATGTCTTGGTACTCCTTTTTCACAGTAGCAACACCTGGTGATCGAATGGACGAAAGAGTTATCACTGAATAGTTAAAAATCAATCAATTATTTTTTTCAATTCAAAATGAAATTTAAAAAGGCATGATTTTTTAAGAGTGTGAAAACCGCTTTAAAGCAGTTACTCACTTTTATGACTATGGCGCTTATAAACAAAAATGGTGGCCATCAGGAAAACTAATACACCAACAAGAGGTCCAACGATAATCCAGACGTCGAACTTCGCCACAGATGAACTAAATGTGCTCTGTCCTGTAAAGCAATATTTTTCCAAAGTAAATAACATTTATTAACTCTAAAATTTAAAGATAACATACAACTTTCCGATGATAAATATCTCATATGTAGTATCATAGGTCTAACATATAGATATCCCTTTCTGCGAAATGGGCAGAAGAATTCAAAATGTTTTTGAAGCTCTCCTGAATAGCTAAAACAGACTTTCTTTCAAATCTATAAAAAAAAGGTTAGATGACATTATATATAAATGTTTATGTATAAATCAAGAAAAAATAAATTATTGAATTAATGAATTAAATATTACTAGGATATCGTTTATAAAGAAAGTGATTTCCTAAACGTATTACACAGTGAGCATTTTAAAACTTTTTTTTCTACTTTTATCAACCATAAACGCCAATGCCAATAGAGAATCTGCCATTAAATCGTACATATTTAATCTAAACACTCCGTTTCATGCCAGTTTTAAAATAATAAGAATGATGATTTTAAAATGTGCAACTAACTAAATATACTAAATAACTTTTAAAATAACGTTGTCAAATATTCATTTGATTGATAAACAGGCCTAAATTTGACTTTGTTTTTATTTTTAGCTGCTTTAGAAAATTTTGCATACGTAATAGTATATTATTATCTGAATAGTTTTTATTAAATTGAATTAAACAAACCTTTTAGGTGAATAGTTGTTATTTCAAATTCATCTCCATATAAGGTATAGTTTCCAAGAAAGCTCTTATTATAGATTGGGATTGTACTGGACACCCAATGCCGGAAGACTTGATTTGTTTGAGTGACTGTAGAAACAATACCAGGGTTTGGATATACACCATGCCATTTGAGAAGCTTTGGTTTTGGATTCGCAATGATAGGTATCTTTATCGATACAAATGTTGGTACATCTACAGCTTGATATAAATAATTAAACTTAGTTTGGCTGTCCAGTCTTGGTTTACCTGTGGAAGATATATATGTTAAGGCACTTGGAAACATTTAACTCTAAAGATTACTTTTTCAAAACACAAGTAACTTACGTACAAAGAACATTTACGGAGACTTTTGTTTCTTCAGTTGAACAAAGATTCGATCTGCCTTTACATATGTAGATGTTTGTATCGAAACAATTAACCTTCTCAAAAGTGTGGTTAAACCAATGATCGTCCCGTTTCCCAAGAATTTTGTTTCCCTCTCCTCTGAAGATCGTTACAGTAGGGATAGTATTACCATCCACATGACATGACATCTGGAGAGGTGTGCTCTCTTGAATATCAGAAACGTTTCTTTTTAGAAAACCATTTATATAAATCCTAGGTTCGGACAAATCTGGAAAATAAAAAATGAAGGCAGATTAATACAATGTAAATTATTTCACTTAGTTGTCATTTGAATTCGAAACACGATATGCAGAAAATATCTTACAGCATCCAAGCATCTTGTTTTACTCTCCTATTCGCAAAATAACAGACACCCCCACTCCTCGATTTTATTGTCATAAAATGACGTCGTTAATAGACTTTAAAATTTACCTATTTATATTGAAGAAATATATATGATACGGTATAGCCATACTGTAAAATTAAGGACATTGGCAAGTCACGGTTTTTCGGAGAAAAAGGATTTATATCATGGGTTTTTTCTATTATAAAACTCATCGAATCACCTCGCCCTTTTCCGTCGCACACTAGAAAAATTCTAGATACAAAATGAAAACCAACAAAGCGTATTTTATAAAGGTAAACAAAAAAGCACGTGCTCCCTACAACACCTGTTCAACGGGTAGAATCATCTCTACAGCAAGAACGAAAAGAGGTGATTGATTTGTTGTACATGTATATTATATTCAGGGACAGGCAGTAAACAGTGTTCATCAGGCTGTAATTTGATTTACCGTGGTTATACTGGACAAAGATGTGTCAATTGCTAGTAGCTCCTATAACTGTATAAGATCGTGCTAAGGAAGCAACCTTTAGTAACTGCAAACATATATTAAAAACAAATCCATACCAATGTTTTATGATAATTTGATTCCAGTAAGGTAAATTACATAATTAACGGAAATAGTTGAGCAGTTTATGAATTCATACAAATTAGATGTTAAGGGAAGTAACTCTAAAATAAAGAACAGTGTTGGCAGATCTGTGTCATGTTTCTAAATTTACATTTTCAGTCATGGTATCTAGATATCATTCAAAATGAGGACACAATAATGTATATATTACATAAACATTCTGAAATAAATGGGTTTTGGAAAAAAATTATGGTAAAAAATTATGTAGGTACTTTTTATGAACATTTTACATAGGAAATGCATTGAAAACTGTAAAAGCATTGATTTGACAAAATCTTAAAAGGGAGGGTGGCTTGGTGGGTTAAATATACCAGAATATAAAACGTTTAATACCATTACACCTGCTCAAGAATTCTTCAAAATTTATATACTAAAGCCAGGAACCTTGCCAATGTCCTTAAGTAGAATACCTCAATAAACCCTCATGATACCCACATATTGTTTAAGAGATTGTCTTCTAAATATCGATATTCCGATAGGAAATTTCAACTTATATGCCCTATTATTTACGTCCGGAAAAGATACAGCAGGCCTTGCCAGGAAGACGTTAAAAGTTCTTATTTTTTCTTTTAAATTACACAAAACATGAAATTTTTTATTGTTTTTTTTTTTTCCTAAATCATTCCACGGAATGAACGTTTAACATGTTTGCGATGTGTACATACGTTGAATTTCCATGTTTAAAACCAATGCTTCCTCTTTTTCTTCACGACCTTTAGTCACACATTTGAGCTCTGTCACTTCCTCTCTGTCTATCTGACGTTTCAATAATGTCACAGAATTATAACCGAGGTGGGTTGCATTCACCTGCTGACCATTCCACTTTGTATACTTCCACTGAACACTGCATGGTGGATTACAATCAACAGCACAAGTATAGGGACCGATTGTGTTTCCATCACATATAGTAATTTTATCTCGTATTGGAGAAATCTTTAGGTCTTCTTTGCTTGGGCCATCTGTTAACATTCATCAGTGCAAAGTTCAGTATATATGTAGTTTTTGTTCATTTCTTGATTCGGGAGACATTAAATTTGTTCATAATAAAAATGATGATTTAAAACAACATTTTTGTCTTTTAAATTAAAAAAAAGATATTATTGGCGTCTATGACCAGTTAGAGAATTTTTCATTACACATTACACATTATATATAATGAGCAACATATGTTTCTCCAATATTCAAAATTTGTTAAAAAAGTACTTTTAGTAAAGATTACGAATTACTACTTAAGAATTACTTTCGAACAAAAATATTTGGTAAACTTTACTACTCATCATTAAGCACAATAAATTGATACTTACAAAAAGGATTAGCCTGAACCTGGTCACTTCTATCTGACGAGAGTATTTGACATGAGTATCTGTTGTACTTTAAAGCCTTTTGTACCATAAACCTGTATATTTTACTCGTTATATTTTTGAGTAAAGTGTCGTTGACATACCACATGTACAATGAAGCAAACACTTCTGCGTAAGTATCATAAACAGAATTTTGTCTACTTGAGCAGGTAAAGATGGAGTAGGTATTCACGTTTGGTTCAAGATCACCAGTAATAAAAGGTTTTGCTGGTTTTTCTGTAATGAAGTAAGTAAATTATCTGTTTATAAGTCTTTTGAAAATTGAGGTGATTTGGGGGTTTATTTTCTGTTGAGGTTCTGAAACAGTAAAATGGTTTTCAATATCTTTTGGTATTTAATAACGAACAAGATAAAGTGGATTTTGTCTTTTCTTTATTCTGAGATCGCTTTCTGCTGTTAAGCTAAATCTTTTTTGATGCATCAAATTTAATGAAAATGCAAAGATTACAAACTGTGATCGATCTTAAAAATCTGTGAATTGGGCATAAAGACGGGTTCCCAGAAATACCAGTGTTGGGCTCAGATATATATTTTCAATACCACGTTGCTTGGCTTTATACATCTCAAACTATGACGTCATGTATTCAATCACAATGTTAAAAAAGACAGAGACACAAGGGGGAATCAAAGAAAATGTAATGAACAGAATATTCAATGTTTTCTAATCAATATACCCATTATATGAAATTTATCTCACTTGTGAGAGATCTTTTTATTTTTAATCGTATTTAGCACTTTTGAGAAAATATAAAAAAAATTCTATCCCGCTCGTAATATAAATGTCATACCCAAGTACAAAACACACTATTCTTTATAAAAAAAATGACTTATTTTGCATGGTACTTTGCCAAAAAATTCCCTTACCTATTACTTTGAGGATTGCCTCCTTCAGCATGACACCTTCACTATTCTCAGACAAACACTGGTAAACTCCAGAGTCAGTATTATGTACATTGAACACAGTCAAAACTTTATTATTGTCCTTTAAGGTGTATTTCTCTGGAACAGATTTATGTACGTATCATCTTATGCTTTTTGATAACATTGACTGATTATATAGGATTTTTTGTAGTCTTCCAGTTAAAAGGGGTACACAAAAGATAGAATTAGCATATGTATATCCCTTATATTCTTCCTACCTCTGTTTAAATGTATTTGTAACCCCTTTCCATCTTTCATCCACGTTGGAAAAGTTGGGGGCTGTTCTTCATGTACGACATCGCAGTAAAAACGGGCATTCTCTCCAACTATTGCCAATATATCTTTCATCTGGGGATTTTCTGAGCTTGAATCCAGAACAGGTGGTGCTGCAATACATTCCAAAAAGAAATAGCATGAATCTTCATGCATCAAGTATCAACTGTATGTCACTAGAAAATTTAATAAGCCTTGCATAATTATAATTTCTTTAACATGCAATAATTTGAAGACATTTAAGTGTACGTTATGACCTAAATTTTTCTTTAACTATAAAATGATTGACAACTTACATGTGACATTTAAATATATAGGGTTGAGAAAAGTCTTATTATTCCATATTCCTTTACAAATATAAATTCCTTCGTCGTCAGGGATGACATCCTTTATCCTAAGAATCCTGTTATAGTCACTCAGAATAAATTTTGAAGTAGTTGTATTAATGCATTCGTCTTTATGCTTGATCCATTCAATATCAGCTGTTGGACTGTCAAAAGTGCCAGACATAATTCAGATAAACCTTTTTCATAGTGATGAATGGCCTAACTTTTGCAATTGTCGGCAGAAATATACTCAGGTAAATACGGAATATATACTCACTATCCAGAGAACATACATCTCAATACACCTTCTTCGCCTAATTTAACTGTGCTGTTAGCTGTTATGAGAATAACGGGCTCCATTTCTTGTGATTGTTTAGCATCTAAAAGGCACACGAAAACTTAGTTATAATACTACTTCGAGCTTATACTTTTAAGTGATATATATTAATATTATTGCAATTTACTTAGCGAAAAATGCATAAATTGACTTTATTCTTCTACAATAATTATTTAAAAAAAGTGGTCTGCACTAGAGTTGCAGAGTAAAGAGCTAATCCTCACGTCGCGAATTCGAGAACCGGTACGGATAAGACTACATAAACGGCTGAGATACTGAATTGACAACGTATTTTTTTGTTTTTTCCCGATCATGACAAAGAGCACACGTCGGATGTGACTTGTCGATAGGGGATGTTCCCTCTTCCATGGCACCTGATCCCACCTCTGATGTTTTAGAGGTCCGTGTTTGCTCTGCTCCTAATTTGTACATGATTGTGATGTTTATAAAAAGAAAAAATATGTATTGATACGAATGTTGCTGGTAGAATTTTATGCTTGTATGCCAAAAAGTGTTGATTTTTTGCTCACCTATAGTTTCTATAGCTCTATAAAGCTAATCTGTTCTAAGCTTTATACTTATTCTTACCAAGTATATTAAGCCGGATTGGATTTCCGACGACCAACATATTGAGCTGTTCTTGCCAAACTTCACATCTATAGTCTAGACCAGTCCAGTCACTGCTGTTCGTCCAAGAGAAGTACAGATCTCCTAAAAAAACAAAATGTACTTTAAAGTCAGTGTTCTTTTTTTAAAATTAACAGACGAGATCTGTGAGTTCTAAAATAAAACAGTGCAGAATTTTCTTTTTTGCATTGAGCGAACGACATACATCATGTATGCGTATAGAAGTTACAAAATGTCGAGGCTTTTCTAAAAAATACTCATGTGAAAACCTTTTTAGGACTTTGCCAAACAGCATCTAAATTGATAAGATTGCTTAATAGGAATACATTAGTTTTTCTCAGTTCATGGAAAGGAAAACATTTTACCAAATTTGAAAGATTTTTGCTAAAATTAGGACAAAATAAACTCACTTGGATTTTTTTAAGTACTTGACAGAATCAACACTCTTTGAAAAAAAAAACTGTTGAGAATGTCCTTCAACATTTTAACAAAGGAGGAACTTAAAGTTGCATGGACACGGATTTGAAGATAATATTTCATGTATAATAACAAAATTTATATGACTTCCGTCAAGAGAAAAGGGCCCTTAAGGTCAAATTTTCACAAATTGACTTTTTGATACATTTGATAGCCGGACTCTTTCTGAATGCAAATATACATACAGGGTGTCCCATAATATATGATACCATTTTAAATTATTGTCAAAAACGCAAGTCTTGACCAATTTCTTTGAATTTTGTCTCATTAAATATTTGAATAAGTACAGTTTTTAGCCACAAATAATATAATTAAAAATTGTCACATAGTTGAAATAATGTAGCCACATAATTACGTCAAAAAATTGCTAAAATGCATGTCAAGCAAAATGGATTACTGGTATTCACAGACAAACAAGCTCCTTATACCCTCATTTTAAAACTAATTATCAAACTCAGTTTTCAGATATTATTACCAAACCTAAATCTACATCTTTAATTTGTAAAAAGGTATATTTCCAATGGAAATCTAGATTATAACCAAAGAAAACTACACTATTGTATTAAGTTATGGAATTTTATGCAATGTCTTGACATGATCGTTACTCAAATTTGACGTCATGTAGGGGACATAGTTGAAAAATGATAGCATTTTTCAAAGTGAAATCATTTTGTTGTGTTCTTTTCAATGTCCATCAAATTGTGTGAATAAAATTGGACAATATATGCAATGTTTATGGTGCATTTGTTATTATTCAAAATTCATTACATTATATTTTATATAATCCTGAAATGGTATCATATATTATGGGACACCCTGTAAATTTTGAAAATATCTCACTTTTTCAATATTTTATGAGCATTGTAGTAAAGCGAACCAAAACAAAGTTCGACGTTACTCACTAAAAAGGGTAATGACGTCGCCTTCGTCTAATTAAGTTTTCTATCATAAAAAAAACTTGCATTAAAATAAGATTGTAACACGTTTTTGTGTATTTTGTAAATTCGGCGGAGCAAAATAACTCACTTGAAGATTTTTTAAAAATAAATTTAATTTTCTGCCACACTAAGATGACCTTTTAACTTGAATGATTCCCAGAACATGCGATTCATTAGAATGCGTTATTAACTTGTTTATCGGAAGATGTATTTGGTTAGGAGGAAGAGGCAAAAAATTGGAGTGACAAGAGTTTAATGTTTTCTGTATAAATTAACTACGGAAAACAATATTTATATATTTGCAAAAGATTTCACACATTTTAAAAGTGCATTAGAATTAAAAACGCAATCAAGGTCAGAATAATAGTAATTAAATTTCAAATTGAAATTTCAAGTAACTATTGCAAATTTCGAAGGAGTTACAAATATGGAGATATATGAAGAAATATGGATATATTGGATAAAAATACCTATTGTAATCATAAAGATTACAAATAGATTAATTTGATAAAGAGTGGAAAGCTGAATCTTGACTGTCTTGGTTGCATTTCATACAGGTTGGGTAACATCTCCACTCCCCAACCATGGCAGTCGCTCTGGTCCACAAATTATAAGGAATTATATAATAAGAGAAAATAGCGAAATCGAGCCATCCCGGTACCTCCACAAGGCATGCGAGTCCAGTAGGAAAATATTGAATAAAGATCAAGATATAGCATGAGTCATCTTGGTACATCTCCACAAGTTCCAGTTAACGAGTTCAATCTGATTATAGAAAGGGAATCTGAAATTATTTATTTTATGAAATTTCAAAAATCGTTGATGTTTACGATTCATTTGTTAAAATCGTTCGAACATTTCTGCTCTAAATTTTTTGAATTATAGTGTAATATTTTCCATTTAAAAACAAGAAAATTGCCACTTTTCCTAGGTATTAAAAATAAATTTAAAATTTGTGAAAAAAACAAGAATGTAACAATCAATCCCGTCTGAAGATTTAAAGTTTTAATAACTTTTGCTATTAAAATATATAAGTCGTAACGTAATAAAGAAAATATTAACTTCAAATTTGTGTCCATGCACCTTTTACGCACTTTGAAAAAAAATGTATAAAAGATAATTTAACTTAAATTTTAGTAGACAGCATAATTTTCTTATATTTCTTTCGAAAAAAAAGATAAAGTCATCTACCCTCATCGAGAACGAACCAATTCTTTTATTTTTCCTACAAACATATTGTATTGAGGGTATCCGGAAATTTTAACACTGTCAATTAAATTGTCAGTTAGATTTAAACATCATCTAAGTTTCGGTGCATCATGAAAACTAACTTCGCTAACTGAAAAAAATGATGCTTAATTATACTCGTCAATGTGCGCCATATAGCTGATATAACAACTATATACCAATAATGAATATAAACTATACTCTTTTGAATACGTATTTCAAAACTGTTAAAAAATCTCTCATCTTGCGCGGGAATGAACAATTTTTAGTCTAATAAGTGAACACAAAAAGACCATCATTTTGTGTTAAAACATTATTTTCAATGAGTATACACACTTGAACTCCATTTTGGTCGGCGTTGCATTTCTCATACCCCAAAAAGTCAACAAACCTCTACATCTCAGATGTGAAGGCATTACCGAACAGGTATCCTATATCACTTATCATATTCAAAATATCAAGAATATTGACATACATTTTTTAATATGGTCGATATTGAGGCACCTTCATACAATCTCCAATGCAGAGTTGTCCTTCGTTCATCTCTCAGACACCTCAGCAACGGACTCACGTCAAGTTTTTTGACATAACGCATCACGTTAAGATTTTTGACATGAGGCATCACGTCAGGATTTTTAACATGAGGCATCACGTCAAGATTTTTGACATAACGCATCACGTCAAGTTTTTTTTTGAAATAACGCATCACGTAATTCTGGATTGATTTAATGAATATCTATCTCAAACCCAGACATAAGCATAAAAAATGAATTGTAATGAATTTAAACAAACGCACTCTTTCTCGTGTTTACCACCGTTAATAACACAAGTGAATGTATAAGCCGATGGTAGAGAGTGACCTTGATAATAATAATAATGATAATAATATAATGATATTGTATTTTTTTTAAATTGCTTTAACATGCTCCAAAATTTAACGCCCTTTGAAAAATATCTCCAAAGCGCGTAATTTTTCAAAGTGCGTTGAACCAGTCTCCCTAACACATTAACACATACATAATTAAATGATGTTTACTTGCCGTTGTTATCAATTCCAACTCTTTTCGTAAACTGCACATTCTGTTGAATATCATTTCCAATTTTCCAATCAACCCTGCATTGTGAATCTGGTGTACAGTCTGGTTTGCCTCGACAAGGTATTATACACTGCTCGAATTGTCTACATTGCACAACCAGAGGTTCATCGGAGGAGAAGATTCCAACTTCTTCAAGAAAAATAGATGAAGAATTTTCTTTACAAATTGTCGTTACAATAATATACATTGAACCGTTTTATGTTATTTATGAATTTTCTACCCCCCTAATACTTGTTTAATTGTGTAATTTTTAAGTACAGAATTATTACGGAATTTCTTGATTTTTGTCTGTAATTTGTTTATATTCACTAAAATCTTGCTATTTAGCGAGAGGTGCAATCTAATAAGGGATGGTGGGGATGGGATGGGAGATTTTAGCCTATAAGACAGTCGTATATTACGTCTGTAATAGAGGGGATGGTTTGTATATAATAAGGGTTTATTGCACGGTATATTTGTTATCTTGAATATGTCGTATTTACAAATATAGGATTTGATAATGAAAAATAAAATATTTTTGGTTTTGGTTAAGATTTACCATTTGGTACCTTATATTTCAGAATATATTTTTATAAGAGATGCAAAATATTAAATTTTGAAAAAGATATATGTATCTTATAAATTGAAATAGAAGTATCTATCTCATGAATGGAAACAATATTTTTTCTACCTTGACAAATTTAAGTCCAGGCTTTTTGATATCAATGATAGCTGCTTTTACAATAAAAATGGTACTCGTATATCTACTTACCTTGTCATTGGTTATTTGCAAAATTACCGATATATTGTTAAAACATTCTGATTGTATACACGCATACTCTGAAGATGAGATCATAAAGATGCTTGAGTTTCTGATTGACAAGATATTTGTCATTTTTGAAAACAAGATCTTCCACCAATCTTTTGGAATTTTTCATGGATA